AAAATCCTACCTGCATTATATATTTTATAGGATGGTTAACATTTTTTAAGGATGGAAATATCTTTGTCATTAAATTTTGTTTTTTACAGATTTGTTTACTTACTTATTTGAAGGGTACACTGTTAGAGAGAGAGAGAACCTCTTACATCTTCTGGTTCATGATTCACTCCCCAAATGGCCATACCAGCTGGGTCTGGGGACCAGGTTGAAAACTATAGCCAGGAACTCCATTCTGGTGTCTCACATGGGTGGGGGGCAGAGGTCCAAAAACTTGCACTATTATCTACTCATTTTAAAGATTGGTGAGCAGGAAGATGGATCAGAAGCAGAGCAGCTGGACCTTAAAAGATATTTCATTATGGGATACTGACCTTGAATCAGGAGCTTAACCGTTGATCTCTGCCATTGAAACTGTGCTTGACGTTGTCATCGTTTAAGGCCCAACTCAGCATCAGTGACATCAGCTCAAACCTCCCGAAAACTCTGGGTTACAAAACTGAACCCTGTGTGCCCTGGTGCTCAGAGGAGAGCTGATGGGAGAGGAAGACAAAACTCCCTGATGCCAGTGCCTCTTGGGAGGCAGACAAAATGCTGACACTCTTCCTGTACTATTTCATTGTCCACAAACAGCTAGACAAACTCCAGGTGTCCCAGCCCTCAGACCAGCTTATTTTGAGCTACTTTGGTGTAGTCATCGTTTGGAGTCTTGGTACTTCCAAGAGCTAGGAGCAAGTCTCCATTCCCCTCTGATCTCATGTTTTGTTTTTGTTTGGTTTTTGCTTTTTAAACAAGAATTCTGCTGGCGCTGGTCTCTCATGAGACCATCGAAGAGTAGGTACATCCATGCCATATTCCCTCTCTCCATAGCCATCTCTCTCCTCTTGGTGTGGTTCCTAGTCTATCGCTCCCTCTCTTTGTGCCTTTTCCTTTCATCTCTCTCTTTTCCTCTCCCCTATTCAGCTGTCTCTCTTTTATTCTGCCTCTTCCTTGATGCCTCTGTCTCACGTGTCTCCTGCCTCTGCTCCCCTCCCAATCCCAGAAATTGGCCAACGAGCTTCCAAAGTAAAATAGTTTTTGTGCTGAGTATTTCTGGTGAGAAAAAAGTAAAAAGGGAGTCCCTCTGAGGCCCTCAGAAATCTCAAGTTCCTCTTCCCCTTGCCCTAACCCTTGGGAAGGGTTCATAGAACTAAGAAAGAAGATGAACTGATGAAGGGTCTCATGGTAGAGCCAGCTGGCTCCTATCCTTCAATCTTTCACACAAGCATTGCCCACAGACCTCAAAAATATCTTCAACTCCTAGATGATTTGAATCAGGTGATTTAGCCATCATACGCTCCGCCCCCACCCCACCCCCCACCATCCAAACATTTTGCAGATGCAAAAACGCAAACTCATACACAGGAAAGAACTGGTCCACTCCCACAGAGTGCAATAATGGAAAAACTGAAACTAGAATGCTGGTTCCTGACTCTCAATCAAGTGCCCTGGAAAGACAATGAAGTTGGTTCAGTACCATCAGTTGAAAAGCGCCCTTGAGATCATTTTGCCAAGACAGAGAGGGAGACCAAGGCTTACGATGTGTGGCATGGTGACTCAATCAGCATCCAGATTGTGAACACTTAGTGACAGTGTGTGGCCCTCTTCTGTATTTAGTGAAAGCCTAAGTCAGCGTCTGGTCCCGACTCAATGATTAACGAATGTGGGAAGGGTTACCATTAGGCACTTTGGGTATGGCTGCGTGAGAGAACTAACACCTCTTCTGGGTCTCCAGATAATCATGCAGAACGCTTTTTTGGAAATGCAACAATCAAAGCATATAGTCTCAGTCTTGTAAATCTGCTCAGTTCTCATGCATCCGTTTCTTCTTGATAAATCAGTTTCTTTAGAAATACAAGGTAATGAAATCTGCTTCATATGTGTTTCTGGGGCCTGGGGAAGTTGCAGTTAAAAAAAAAAAAAAAGATAGGAAAAAGCTCTGACAAAAACAAGACAGCACTCTGTAAATGTGATGGCCGGGTGCTATGGTGATGTCCCAGCTAGCAATTATGTTCTTCGGCGCGACGACTGTGGGCGCTGAGTGAGTCATCCTCTCACTCTCAAAGCCAGAGGCCTTGAAAGGGGAGAAATGAGGTGAGCTTTTTGTTGAGAATTCCCCCCCACCCCGCCCCCGGAGCATTGGGGGGGGGGGGTGCAGTACAGGAGTGGACAATCCTCCCCTACACACACACACAGTGCCCCCAATTTCAGCCTCTTTTAAAACTAAGCAATCATCTTAAGGCAGGGTTGCACCCTGACCTCTGCTGTTTAATTCTGAGACTAAGTCACTGACAAGATGCCAGAATTCTTATTTCCATTCAGTTCAGTTCCATAATCAGCTTTGGGCAATAGCTGTGACTGTCACTAATTTACTCTGTGGCTTTAGGCAAATGGCATTCCCTTTGTGAGTACATTTCATTTGTAAAATGCACAATGAGATATTTAAGGTTATGTTTCATGAGTCCCGAACTGGGATTTAGAAGACCAAGTTCAAGTCTCAGCTGTGTCCTAGCCACCTTAGAAATCTTAGGTAAGTTCTCTCTTGGGTCTCTCCTGGATTTCCACAACTATAAAATCAGACATCTGAATTAGATGTTTTTAGCAGTGCATTTCAAAATGTTGAACTAGGAACTCAGAGTTCTGTTACAGATTTAATCATTATCAGTTTAGATTGGGCCCTAGTTTATGGGCTCCTAGTTTACGAGGAAATCTGAATATAAGGCATCTAAACACATTCGCTGATTCTTACAGATTGTAGTTCTAGAATTTTACAAGCACTGAAAAGGAAGTGGAGAGGCCACACCCAGAAAAAAATCTCATAAACTGGCAGAGGCTGCCCTCTATGGGTCTGGCCTGAAAGTGCAGGCCTAGCTAGCTTTAACGGACTGATGCAATTACTCCAGGAGCTGAGGCGAGAGAGGAAAAATAACTCGGTGCTTCACCGGATAAGGCCAGACACAGGTTGAAGTTGATCTACAATGTTCCCTACGCTTCCAAATGAGGGGGATTCGGATAACAGATGTGTGCTGAGAGGGTTGCTTTTCCCAGCTAGCTACCAGAAGCAGGAAGCTTTCCTGGACTGGATAAGATGAATGGGTTTCTGCCATGGGCAGAGTGGCTAGGTTTGAGGGGAACATGGAGTGTGACTGTGCTCTGAGAGTGGATCTGGGAGCATGTTAGTTCCATAATCAAAAAGTTTTCACTGATGAGGCAAAAATTTTTCTTCCTTCTTTTCTCTCTTTCTTTCTTTTCTTTCTTTCTTAGGTCCATTTATTTTTATTAGAAAGTCAGATTTACAGAGAGAGAGACAGAGAAAAAGATCTTCCATCCTCTGTCACTTCCCAAGTGGCCGCAACAGCTGCGGTGTAAAGTCCCAAGGCTTAGGGCCATCCTCCACTGCTTTCCCAGTCCACATACTCATATATTGGCAGGACATTTTGTCCTGGAGGCTTACAATAGCTTCAGATACAGACTGTTACAGACAGAGGTGTATAGTAACATTTTAATAGCTGCCATTCTATAATGCTTCGAAACTGAGTGCAAATCTCAGGAAACTCTGCTCTATTTCCCGCTTTTCTTTTTTAGTTAAAAGGTCTAACAAGTCTGGGGCTAGGGCTTTGGCTTGGTGAGTAAAGTTGCTTCCTGAAGCACCAGCATCTCATATAGATGCTGAATCCTAGCCGCTCCAGCTCCATACTAATGCACATTGGGAAACAGCCAAGGATGACCCAAGTGCTTAGTCCACCACACCCATATGAGAGGTGTCGGTCCTGGCTTCCTGGCTTTGGACCAGTCAGACTTTGGACATTATATCCACTTGGAGAGTGAACAAGTGAATGGAAGATATGTGTGCATGTGTGTGTCCACCCCAGACAACTTTGTCTTTCAAATAAATAAATAAAACTTATAAAAAGCTCTGAGCATCCATCCCAGACAACACAGGGAGAAATCCCTGGGAGACAATGTCTCCTCTCTTGTTCCAGGGGTAGTCACAGCCCTAGTTCTGTTCCTGATTCACAATTATCAGCTAGGTTAAGTTCTAGTCTCATCCTAGGCCCCGAGTTACCCAAATGGAGCAGGAAAGGGTTGGACTTGATGAGTTTTCAGGTTTTTCGTGTCCCTGACCTTCTGCCTGGTTCTTTTTACAAAGTTCTGTGGCATCCCTGGCCTCCTCTCCTCCTATTCAAGTATGGCCCAGATAGTCCCTAAAGTGTTTTTAACTCCAGCCTCCTACCTTATTTAATTCAAGCTCCAAGGCTTTTCATAATATGCTAGCTCCATCCTCTATTTCTTCTTTTCACCACCACCACTGTTACTATCTGCAATAGGGTACAGTTTTTTCTCTTCATAAATGAAAATTCTAATCATTCATTTCTGATGCTGGTGAGTTGACAAAAATTGATAGAGTGTTCCTCTGAGGTGACCGAACTCCCCGCTTTACCACCACTTCCGTCTATGACCTTGGGAAAAATCTGCTGAATTGTCTAGATCTTATTTTTCCCATCTGTAACTTAAGAGTGAGCTAGAAATGTCTCCAACAGCAGCAAATAGTTCCCAACATCTTCCACTTCCATGCACTGAGAAAATCAAGATGGTCTTTAATGTTTTGCTATAGTCCCAGTCCTTTTCGGTGCTCCTGAACCTGTAATCTCTCCGTCTGATACAACCTCCCATGTCTGAGAAGGAGCCAAGGTTTCCATAAGCATGCCCTACACAGTACAGCCAGTCTTCCATTCTTCAGCCCTTGGATTTGTCTCCTTTCCTTTTTCACCCTGTTTCTACCAAGGAGTTTTTCCCTTCCAATCAAAATGTCTGCGAATGATAACAGCTTACCATGAGGAGATGCAATGACAAGAGACAATGGCTTTATTGATCACAGTTTTGTCATCAGTGTTTTTCATGATCCCTCTCCCTGCTGATGCCCACGAGCTTCTCCCAGAAAATCACAGAGAAATCGTGCGATGAAAATTTCAAAGGATATTTTATTTAAATGTTTTGTAAACAGAATTCATGCTCACAGCTTCTGCAATAGTGAGGCTTCACTTCAACCTCCCAGCAGAGCCCAGGGGCCTGGTGTACTTCCTCAGACAAACCAGTGGCTTGATTTGAAGTCAGACCCGAGGAGGTCCCATTTCTCCCTCCTGGAAGTTTCCAAGAGAGGTGCACAGTGGGGGGGCACCACAAGTAAAGCTGGGAGGGAAGAGCATGCAGGTAGTTAGAAGAAGAAGAAAAAGAGGAGAGGGGGGAGAGAGAGGAGAGAATTTGAGTATGTTCAATAGCAGCGAGGATTGGAGGTAGACCCGTTGTGGGTACTGAAAAGTGTTCAGAAAAAAAAAAAAAGAATTGTAAATGAGTAAAATCAAGAAATACATTTTTTAAAAACTGGAAGAGGAAATTGCCTACCTACTCTTGCTAATGATCCCAGTTTCCTCGTTCCTGTCCATGCAATGTGCAACAATAACATTTCATGTCTATGAGTGACTATATACTGTTACTGTGGCTGAGATAATGTGGTTAATATTGACTACTGTATTGCGATTAATAATGGCTAATACTATAACTGAAATACTACGAAAATAATCATAATAAAAAAAAAGATGAGGAGGATTGGACAAGAATAAAATGGCATGAAGAGGTCATGGAGTTAGAGTACTTCAGGTTCAGATCTGGCTGATCTGCATCTGGTTGAAGTCTCTGAGAATCTTCAAAAGCCTCCTTGTGGCTCTAAGAAGCAGTACAGAGAGCAATGCTACAATCTGGCTCTGTCTGGGTACTGAAGGTACCAATCGTCATCAATAGCCATAACCAGTTGCTGTCAAATAATCACAGAAAAATTGCTATCAATGCTCACAGCCAATCACCATTTATATCCATAGGCAACTGATGTTGACAACCTATAGCTACCACCACTCGAAAGTCCCCTATCTAGACTGGGGTTTGGTTGGGGTAAGGGGTTTTATTCAAGGATAAGGGGGAGGAAGGGAAGTTAGTTGAGAAGGGGATAATAGCACCAATCCAGGAGGAATGACACTTTATTCTTCCTGGTCATTCTGAAATTAAGAGAAGGCCCGAGAGTAAGGCAGGGGGAAGATGAGGCTTAGACTTGCTCCTAATCCCTTTCCTCCCTAAATAATGAGGAGGAACCTGATCTATAGGCCTTGGTTAACTGATCCTGAGTTACCAAGAATCTGGGGCTATTCCTGAAGGGTTCTTTGCCAAGTGCAAAGCCAAAAATCTTTATCTGTAACTAAAAATTGGCAAGAGGAAGAAAGGAAGGATGAGGTCCACCTCTTTTGATCAGTGTGCCCAATGGTTTCTTCTGGGTCTCAGTTTCTGGTGAGCCAGGGCTACTGCATAATAGCGCTGGAAGCGGACCAGGAGCACGGGCACCAGCAAGACACCAGTGCACATGCCCACCGTGGCTGTGACTGCAGCAGTCAGCTGACCCAGAGCCGAGAGGGGATAGATGTCACCATAGCCAACGGTGGTGAGTGTTATGACAGTCCACCACAGACATGTAAAGATGTCTCCAAAATGGGGCTCCCCCTGACCTGGGGTGGACATGCCTAAGAGCTCTCCATAGAGGAGGAGTGAGCCAAAAAATAAGATTTCAGCCACCCAAATCAGGAGAAAGGCACACACCTCTTTCCAGGATGAATGCAGAGTGTGAACCAGAACTCTTAGGGCTAGGGACTTTTCCAGGAATCCCAGGAGGCGAACCAACTTGAGGACATAGAGAGAGCGAATGGCCCCGAGGGTTAGGCTTAGGCGGGGCTGCTTTTCAGCCTTGTCACCCAACACCAGTTCCACTAGCACAGGGAACAAACAGAAAATGTCAGCCAGGTTAAGAGGGCTGCAGAGGAAGCGCACCTTATCAGGGCAGGAAATGGCCCGAGCAAAGAGCTCAGTTCCAAACCAAAGGGCACAGAGCAATTCCAGATAGAGCAGGTGGGGCGCACGGTGGAAAACTAGACCATGGTCCTGCTGCTGCTGTTGAGGCGGTGGCAGGTGCTTCTGCAGCTGCTGCTGGTTGCCCCTAGCGCTGACCCCATGTCCCATAGGAGTGAAGTTGGCTGAGAAGTAATCCAGGTGGACCTCTGTCTCTTGGAAGAAGATGACCAGGGCACATACAGCAAAGAGTGTAGAGATCAGGGAAAGGCACTGTGGAAAGAGAGGTGTGTCAGAAGTCATCCAGTATGCCAGCCATCCCAGCAACACCCCCACCCTCCTCTGCCACCCTGGGTGAACCCCTCAAACCGCCCCCAGGGAATGTACACGTTCAGGCCCCAAGCACTGTGCCACATGCTACTAATGAGTTACCTTGGCCCCTAGGGAAGACCGGGGTTGATCGAGAAGCACCCAAAGCCATGGTTTCCACGAATTCCGCAGTCCCTGGCCTTCAATGGGGTTCTGCAGAAGACGCTCATCCACGTGGGCATTCTCACAGGCCTCCCAGGAGAGGAAATCCTGCGTACGGATCTCCCTGCCACTTAGCTTGAGCCAGCAGCAAGGTGCCAGTGGCGCTTCCGCCAGGCCCCAATAAGCCAACTCCTCCTCTAGGACATCCCGACAGACGTCAGCAGGGCAGTGCAGCTGCCGAGTTCGGTAGTAGCCCAGCACATAGCCAAAGAGCTCAGGATTTCGGTCAAAGAAAAACTCCCGGACCGGTGGACCCTGAGCAGCTGGAGTGCCAGGTGGTGGTGGCTCGGTCAGCTTGTAGAGGCGGGTGCCTGGAAAGGCCCGCACGGTGCTGATGTAGGTCTCGTGACGCATGCCCCCCACATTCAGGATCAGTTTATCATCCGAGCCCTCCATGGCAAACCGTGAGCCTGCGTCTCGGCTGGCTCGGATCCGCTGGCAAGAGGAGGGATGACAGGGGTTAGGATGGAGTCGTCCTGCCTTTCTCTTCCTTCCAAGGCTTAGCCAGGGCAGGGAGGGGACTAGGGGCCACAGTGGTGATGTGGCAACCCACGTCCCCAAGGGAGACTAGCCAAGGCGGGGAGCTGGGGGCGCCTCTTCCTTCTGGGTCTTCAGGTGTGATCACAGTGACTGGCCAGTCTCTCTCCTGGGCCCAGCAGTTCCAGGAGAAAAACCAGCCTAGCCTGGAAACAGATGTCTTTCAGGGGCTCTTGGGAGATGTCTTTCTGATGGCTCGGAGAGGAAAAAAAAATGTGCCACGATATACAGCAGGGGTATAGTCACAGACAGGCAACCGCAGACTAAATGGCCAAGGTAGGGACGGAGATGTCTCTTAATCCTGTGACATCACACTGAAAAATAGGGGTTGGGGATGGGGTGGAGTGGGGTAGGCTGGGGTGGGGAAGGGAGTAAAAATAGGAGTCGCCAAGGGAGGCGAAGTGCAGGGGCAGATAGGGGACGAAGATAGGGGTGACGGTGGAAGCTGGAGTGCTTTAGAGATCCCTAGGCCTCCACAGGGAGTAGGAGGTGCCTGACTTGAGAAATTGGCTGGGGGGTCGGCAGACCTGACAGCGATGGTTTTTCACTCCAGTTCCCCTGGCACCTGGTCCCGGGCATTCCTCAGCAGCAGCGCCACCAGCAGCATCAGCCGCAACAGCCTCTGTGGGTCTCTCTACTGGGCGCCCAAAAATGGCTTTGGGTTTAATGAGTTCCTTGCCTGGGAAAACAGGGATAAGAAGAGTGGGGTGAGGGGGAGATGGGACAGAGAAGAAAGAGAACGGAGAGGAGAGGAGAGGAGAGGAGAGGAGAGGAGAGGAGAGGAGAGGAGAGGAGAGGAGAGGAGAGGAGAGGAGAGGAGAGGAGAGGAAGGCACAGACAGACAAAAGAAGGAGGATCAAAACACATATTTGCAGCAACACTTCAGTGACCCTCATCCTCTGACAAGCAGCCTGCCCGGGGCCTCCCATATTTGTCCCTGACAGTACCAAAAAACACAGGCACTTCCAAGCCCAGTAAGATCTCTCCACCCCCCGCCAGCCCCTGCTCACTCACTTGGCTGTTTTGCATGGTCCACAAAAACTGGCAGAGTAGGGACCTGAGGCAGTTGGTTGGGTGGTGGAGCCGGGGGTGGTGGCGCGGGTGGTGTGGCTCGCGTGGCCGGCGTAGCCGCCGCCTCGGGAGTTCGTGGCTGCTCCTGCATCGAGAGATCTCAGGGCCCAGGCCCAGGGTGTGCTCATAGAAGAGCTGGCGAGGACGAGCTGGAGTTTTCTAGGAGCCTCTTGTTCCTGATGTGGTGAGAAGAGCAAGTGCCGAGAAGCAACCCCCGGCCCCAGAGCTATATTGTGCCCCCTCCGCCCCCGCTCCCGCTCCGTTTAGGGAGGCTGTCTTGGCCCCCAGCCTGCTTGGAATCAGACAAGCGACCCTGGCCAACTTTGCTGCTCTCTCCTCCCCACCCCCCTCAGTTCCCGCCCGGAGCAGAGGGAGGGGAGGAGGCAGCTGGAGGAAAAACAGGAAGTTAGGTGGTCAGGCTCCAGCCAAGAGGCCACCTCACAAAACCAGTTAATATTTGGAACAAGTTATTCCCCGCCCCCACCCTGCCCCCACCCAGGCCTGCTCTAATTCCTTACCCTCCCCCTAGTTGCAGTACATTCCTCCTATGAGAAGCCTGCAAAAGAGTGAGGGGCGTTGCAGGAGCGGGAAGCCAGATGTTCTCCTGGCTGCATCTAGCTATTTCTGCCCACTCATTTTTCTTCCTTTTTCTCCATAGGTCCTAGTGCCAAGGATGGGGGGCAGGGTGGAAGAAGGGGAGAGGCAGGGGAGTGAGAAAGCAAGCTGCTTGCCTGTGGCCCGTGTCAGGACTGGCAGAGACCCCAGCCCCTTTGAAACGAGCCAGCTCCCCTCTCCCTGTTCTAGTGCCTCAATCCTGCCTCCATCCAGGACGCCCTCCCCAAAGAGTAGGCCATTCTCTTTTTGTTACTGATGAGAGTTTGCCAGCAGAGTACCCAGATGATTCTAAATTTCAGGATAGTCCTTACTCCTAGCCTGTGGCCCAGCCGTGTGTTTCTCATCTGCCATCAATCCAGAAATTTCTATTACAAATGAAGATTTCTGCTACAATCCAACACTCTCTCTTAACTTGTTTTCAACCCAGTCTTCAGAGGGTTGAGCTGGATTGAATTCCAAGACAGATAAGCGGATTCCTGGCTCCGCTCCCATCTGTGTCACTGCCTTGCTGTGAGAGGTGGTGGAAGAGGGCAGCGCTCTCAGTGTGCCTCTGGACTAGAATGGGGGGTAGAGAGGAGTGCTGACAAGCACGAAGGCCTACAGGGTTTCTGAGTTTAACTGTGGCCGGGCTCAGCTCTGCACTCCGATTCTGAACTCAGTAAAGAAAGGCAGACAGTAACTCGGACATTGAGGAATGTTCAAGTGGGGAAGACAGAAGCAGCAACCTCACCTCTTCCCCTGACTCCATCTTCTTTTTACATATCCTGCCTCACCTCTACTCAGCCCATTTGTTTCTTGATCCCCTGAAGCTACTGCTCTGACGGTTTTGCACACAGCATCTGTCCTCACGACACTCTTCCGTCCCCTCTCCCAGTACTTTTTCATCCACATCCAACACCAATGTCAGCTCCTGGCAGAGCCTTCAGTACATCTTCCTTATGATAGAATCTTGTCCTGTGTGTTCTCACAACCTTCCTCGGTTCCTTTGGTTTTTTGGCATTTTGGTTTTTTTCTTCTTGTTGTTTTTCTAGAGCACTTTTCACCCTACAACAGTATTACCTATGAATCCACTGTCCAGTCATATTAGCTTTTTAATTGCCACTGTAACAAACTAGCCTACACTTAGGGACTAAAGACAGCATACGTTTCTTCTTTAACCTTGGCAAATCAGAAGTCCAAAAGTGGTCTCACTGAAGTGAAATCCAGAGGCCCGACAAGAGGATTTGTTTCCTTGTCTTTTTCAGCTTCAAGACGCTTTTTGCATCCTTTAACTTGTGGTTCCTTCCTCCATCTTCAAAGCCAGCAACAGCACGGTGAATCTTCACACTTCAGCCTCTGAGCTCCTCAACTGCCTCCCTCTTCCATTTTATAAGGACTTTTGTGATGGCGTAGTGCTCACCTGCATATAAACAACCTTCTTATAATTTCAGGGTCATCTTATTAGTGACCTTGATTTCATCTGAAACTTCAGTTTCCCTTGGTCATGCACAAGAACATGTCCATATATTCTGGTGAATATACAAGGACTGTTTTTCTGCCTCCCATGCCTGTCTGAACTCTGAGTTCCCCAAGGGATAAGCTATGTGAGATTAATCTTTCAACCGTCTGCCCTGTGCTTTTCCCTCCAGTCTTGTGCCTGCTACCAGCTATTCACAGTGAATGTGTTATAATCGCTCGCATCTCAGCACACAGCCTTTTCCTTCCTTAAGCCTGACCTAATTCTCACCTTGTTATCCTAACTGAATTGGTCCCAGCTCTTTGTATCACAACTCCTTCACTTTCTGCCCCTACTTGGTGAGATCGAACTACAAACAAACTTACCACTGACTAGACTTGGCCAACGCAGCCACAGCAGGCAGCACACATTCTCAGATCTCATAGAATGCCTGTCATCCTTGAAGCCTCTTCCTGTTCCTCCTGGTTAAGGCCTTTAATGCTTCTACTAACTAGATCTGGGGAGGGAGTAGAAGAGTGGAATCCCCATTCAGGAAAGAACACCTTCCCTGAGGGCACCCCTCTGGGCTCCTTTCTCCACCTTTGATCTATAGTTACGCCTGTCCCCCGACGACCCACTCACCCACTCACCTTCCCTCTTCTTGGGTAGTCTTGTGTATGCGTGATGGAGAGGGCTCGCCCTCCTGGAGTTGGAGAGCTGGAGGTATGCCCACAGCTTTGAGAGTCTGTCACCTACACTCTTCACAGAGCTGAGCATGAGAAAGAGTTCTGTAAACCCACAATGTAGCCCCCCCAAATTTTGGCAGACTTTTCCCCGACTCCTGCCACTTCCAACTGCTCCCTATTAGCTCCAAACAGCATAAACACACGTACTCTTCTGTCTTTCCTCAATACTAGGCTTTCCTTTTGCCTCCTGCCTTCCATTCGTGCCAATACCTTTCTCCACTCCAGTTGTATGCACATCTGGTCATCTTTCAACACCCAGTTAAAATGCTTTCTCTCCTGTGAGATATTCCTTATTATCTTGTCGGAATTTTTGCCTCTTTCCTTCCTGTCCCCACTCTGATCTCCAATAGTTTTTGTAGTTCTGTTTAGCACAGATGCCATTCTCCCTCATTTGCCTTTTGTTTACTCACCTACTTTGCCAGTGGCTGGTAAATACCCTTGGAGTTTATTCATGTTCCACCCACCATTCACTCTGCTCCCTTTCACCACTGCAAGTACCATCACAAGTGCCAATGCCAGCTTTATGGTCAGTGTTTACTCAGCAGATGAGTGACTCCAACATCTTTTCCCTGGCATCATGGAAGGATTGGGGAAAAAAAAAAAAGTCCCAGCGCATGTGTTGCATAGCAGTCCTGATTCCCTAAACTTCTCCCTCTTTACCCTCAGCCTACATACATGCCTTGAACCTCCCCCTCTCTGTGGGCCCAAAATTACATCACTGCAGAATTATGAAGCTGGAAAGGACTTCAGGGACCCCAGCTGCTTCCCATTTCACAACAAGAGGAGCTGAGGTTCACACACAGCAAGAGATTTGTCTAAGCATTCTCATCAAACGTGTGACTTAGTCAGACCTAGATGCTTAAAAAGTTTTCAGGCTTTTCGGTTTGATTTTGCACGTAGCCACCGCCCAATAGCTTTGCACAGAAAAGTGGGTAGATGGTGCCACACAGTGGCTGAGAGGTTTATCTTCAAGTAATGGCCCGGTTCCTGGAAAGTGGAATTCCCAACCACACTCTGTTCCCTTTCCCACCTCCCCACCCCTATATAGGGTGAGGGGACACGGAGGTCCCCTTACAAGAATACCCCACAGGATATCCATGCAACCCCGACTTCTCTTGACAGAAAATGAGACCCCATTGTACCATCCAGTGTCTTCACCAGGAAGGATGGAAAGGAGTGGCAGCAGGCAGCTTGGAGTCAGACAGTTGAGGACTCGGACTTTCCTTATAAGATACAGCTCTGAGAGCTGCTCTTTCAACCTGTGCCGCTGGGCCTGCAGTTTCACTGAGTGCCTCTTTGCCACAATTCGGCTGCGAACTGGTTTTACACCCCTGGCACAGACTTCAGTCTCGAGAAAAATACAGATCCAAAGGCCTGAGAAGTGGATACACCTAAACTCTTTCCATAGGAGTTTTAAACAGCTAATTTGGAGGTTTAGAAGCTGAGCCTTTCCTTCTTCACGGATAGAACTGCACTCTAGTTGACCCCTCAAGCCTTCCTAGTCCAGCTCCTAATGTAGGAATTTTCTACATTATGGGTTAGAGGAAATGAAGGTTTAGTCTCAGGCAGCAGGGGGAAAAGGGGACAGGTTTCATGTCATGCGCCAAGATCTGACAACATGCCTCATGTGGGAATGGAGATTCTTGGAAGTTTAGGAGAAAACAAGAAGCTCCCTAGGGTTGAAATGCAGCCAGGGCCACCTGCTTGGCTCGTCCAGTGAGCTGTCATCCTTGACCCCCAGTTGGCCTGTGGCTGGATGCCTAGATGGAAGGAAAGTAGGGGAGGAGTTGAGTAGCCAGGAAAATGAGGCCTGGCCCTTGCTGAGTTCCGGAATGAAATTGGGGGCAGATGACTGAAAATCAGGCAGAGGCCCAGCAAGAAATCAGGCAAGAGTCCTGGAGTAAATGAATCTTTCTTCATACCTCTCCCATCTGGGTGGTGAGTTCCAGGAATCTGTTCAGAAGATGGGGCCCTGGGTGAGCTGGTTTCTGGCAGCCTGAGCAAGGAGGGGTGCTTAGAAAACTGGGTAAGGGGAGGAAAGGATGATAAAGAGGTGGAAACTGGAGAGCACTGGGATGTGACAGGGGCTTAGGCAGGGTGCCGAGGCATATTTTGTGGGTTGGGATGGAATTTATGCAGCCAAATCATGTTTAAATGAAATGATCTTGAAAATCAATTTCCTGGTTGGCTTGGAACTCCTAGGAATAAAGCAAGACACCATTCCCCACTCCAAGGACTCAGATCACAAGTTTCTCCTCTGTCTGCTTCACTCCTCATGCACAAAGCACATGATGCCATTATCCCCTGAAGTTGACTTGGATCTCATAGGGGTAGTGGTTCTGCAGATGGCATGATTTTAACACTTGCATCTAAGCCTTTACACCC